ATACTCCTTATTCTCTTTGCACGAAAGAGCTGGGGTTTGGGTTGGTTGAGAGAAGCATAGTTTCTCCTCTTATGTCTTAGCATCTGAACCATTGTAAAACAAAGTCAATTCCAGAAATATGTCTTCTGGTAGAAAACATTCTACCTATAATTCAAAGGAAAAGATCCAGAGTTTAGAGATGCAAAGAAAACGCCTGTGCAACTGAATATTTTGATAACCTAAGAAGTACAGTCCTACACTCTGTACCTTACAATGTTAAATAAAACACTCTGACTGAGTCCCAATGCCAGAATAAGAACCCAAAGGAGAATTATTTATGAGTATTAAATCTAAAAATCCCTTTATTAGAAAAAGTTATTCCATAAGCAGAATGAGTAAAGTTTGGTCCACCTCCCCAAATTCCTACTGGGGACAGGACAAGCAGCCTCCTCCAGTGGCATTGCCTCCTCTAGTTGGCTCAAAGCTACACAGATTCTGACCAATGTGCACACAGCAATTAGCCAGCAGACCAAAGAGGAAAGACAACCTGTGGTAATCCTTCTGCATTTTCCCCTCTCCCTGCTGCAGCCCTCACACTAAAGAAAACTATTCATTGTTTGGGTATTTTTACTTTTTCTCATTCCCCCCTTCCAACAACCTCCTGCCCATCTGCATAAAAATTGATACTTTTAGGGCAGGAGATGCACTCCCAGCAGGACTCCAGCTGACTCCTGCAGTATTCTTCAGTCAACAGCAGATATTTTAGCCCTCAATTTATTTATTTTTTGGCCTACCAAATATCCAAGAAAGCGTAGTTACAAAATTATTTGTGCAACAAATTCTCACTCATCATGTATTAATTTGATGAACAATTCTTTTTGACATTACAGAAAATAATAACTGCAGTTTGAAGGGGAACAACAGTACTTGAAATTCTGTAATCTGAATTAGATTATTCTTCTTTTTCTAAAATTAAATGCTATCTTTTGTTCTCACATATACAGAAACTTGCTGGGAGAGGGAGGATAAGATTAAGCACCTCAGTTAGAATCAAATAATTTTGAATGTTCTCAGCCATGTGTATCAGGATACTCTGCCTAGAACAACCTGAACAATGCCTATTTGCAAAGCTATCCGTGCTGCTTTCAGTGTTGAATAATGCTGAAAGCAGACTGACTCATCAGCTCCAAAATTAAACATCCTGAGAGTGAGGTGAAGATGTAGCTGGCCTGGCAAAGTGTCTGATAAAAGAACAAAAAGTGATTACTTATCTGAAGGTGTTAAACTGACACAGCTGGCCTGGAGACATCTGACTGAGCAGTCCCAATCTTTAATGGCAGGGTCTTCTGACATCCCCCTTCTTGGAGTGTGTGTGGAGATCTTCTCTTGGGTTGAGGGTGTCCCTCAAGATTATTCCTCAAGGCTGAGCAAAAGAGATTTGCCGACAGTCTTTGGTATGAGTCAGTAACATCAATCTCTACTTATTGCTAGCTTTCCCATAATTGCTTCAATATTGCTTAAAAATAGAGAATTAGACTTTACTAATAGTTATATCTTCTGCCTGTGAAGTAAATAATTCTGATTAACTACTGATTAATTTTTGATTAATTAATTTTAGTCTAATCATTATAATAATAAATATTTTATCTGGTTTGCCATCCTTAATTCTGCAGGACAAAGTTGTACAAAGGTTCATTTACACCTAGATAATCCTTTAGACATGAAGTGTTGACTCAGTCTGGGGCTAAGATTGGATCCAGCCACACCTAGACTCCTCTGTGTGGAGTTCAGAAAGCAAGGGGGTCCATTCTGCACCTTGTGACTCAGCTAATAAACTGTGTGAGGTTCCCATTCTGTTTGTGACAAAGCATCACACACGTGACAGGTTATGGCTGAGCCCAGGAGCTTCCCTAGCGGAAGGAGCCCATGGGATCAGAGCCCAGCCATGCCAGACATGGGTACAGTGAATGCAAAATCAGAGCTAAAACCAGTGTTAAGCAAGTAATGATTCCTTCTGCCAGAAGAGAGATGCTAAAGGCTCCAAAGCAAGAGTGGGCTTCTAGACAAAAACAGTGTATTTAGTTACAAAAAAACCCCATAACAGGTACACCTGTGTGAGGTATTCTAGACTGGAAAACCTTTGTTGTTTTTTTCAATTATATCTGTGCTAAGAAAAAATTCTATCCCTACTTGCATGGCTGTAAACTACTTCTAGAGAGGCTCATACAGTCATGAGACCTGCCAGTCATTTAATATTCACATCATGCTGCAAAGACACTGACAACTTGACAAAGTCACTGCAGGGATGCCATCCATGGTTGTGAATTCACACATGGCATTCCCCTCGCTCCCAAACCCGAGACAGACAGACAGACGTGGTTTATATTTAGTAGCAGAAGCACACAGAATGAGGAGGAGCTCTTGGCTCTCCACTTGGGATCACCGAGCAGTGCCCACTATCCTAACAGCCAAGGGACACCTGAGCCTTTCCACAGGATGATCACAACTAGTGAAAAAAATGCTGCTGTACACCCTAGGAATGTTATAATGCTGGAAAAATACTGATTTGAAGGCCAGCTATTTTAAAAATAAGACATCCTTAAGCACTACCCAGGGCCTGTGCAATTAGGCTTTAACAGCTTAGAGCACTCACGAGCATGAGAACAAACCCTTCTGCCTGTGCCTGATTCCTTGGATTAGGGTCAGAAACAGTTAATGCTTCCAGCTAAACGACAGATATACAGCCACCCAATAAATCACACTGATGAATTGGTAACTTATCTGTCCCAGGATATTTTGTTCAAAGTTCATGGCTGCTCTCAGGAAAACAAACCATCAGCAAGTACCTGTTAAACCCAGCTCTTTATTTAATGAACACTGCTAATGGCACATGCACTAGCATTTGCTCTCTGCTTTTATAATTTAAAAAAATATTTTCTAACAGACATATAAAGACACTTTTTAATAGAATTGGAGGTTGCAATATTGATACTGAAAAATTATACTTTGTTTTTTAGGATAAATTCAAATTTCACTTAAGATACAACATCAGTGTCCAGTTTTCACATCCAGCAATGGTATGAGATATATTGTACCTGGATTTTTGTGTATAGACATCAATAAAGTTTCAGAAAAAAAGTAGAGTGCAAATACTAAGTCAAAAAACTGTCTTCTTGTAAGGAAAGCAAGTTTCTTTTGCTCAGGCATCATCAACATGAGTGAAAAGCAGTCAGAACTCCTAAGAAGTATTTAATGCTATTTATATTTTTATTATCTAACCTGCTTTCCAATTAAAAAGGATAGCACTAAACAAATGTAATAACTTTTTATATCCTTAGAGTGGAAACAGTAAATAAGTTAAAGCACAGTATATTTTTTTTAATTGCTTTAATAAAACCTGGTTTTGATGATCAAAGTACATTTAGTAGGACTGAATTTGGCATAGATAACATTTAAAACATACAAATATTGTCAACTCAAAATGTAAAACAATGCATTATTTCCTAAAATGTATGCTCACAGTATCAAAAGGAACACAAAATAAAAGTTTTTGTAACTATTAGAACCTCTCTTTTTAACAATATTTTGCTGTAAGCTCATTTCTGCAACACACACAGACTACATATGAGAACTGCATACCCTCAAGGGTTTAGTAACAGGGGTAAGTAGGAAACTAGAGTAAAATACCACTATTAAGCTTGTGATAATCTCTTTGGAAAATGGATTTTTTTTCACTTTTCTTTGTGAATGTTATTTGTATTTGCTGGTTTCTTGCGATTACATTGTGAAAACCCCATTTATTTTTAAAACCAAGCAGAGAATGTGTAGAATGGATTTCTTGCGAGGGCCAGAAGAGGGAGCTCAAATGAGTACTTTCATTGATTAGGCTAAAACAGGATGTAACTGTAGAATCTAACAGTAAAGGTAACATTAAAACATTAGACACTTTGATGTATCATGCATTTAAATTAAAGTAACAGGTTAGCCTCTCTGATAGGCATCTGTACTAATGGCATTTTAGGTCAGAGTTAAAGGTAAAAGGCTCTCATAAAAGTGAACCTTCGCACTACAGGTGATATCTGAACAAAAACCAAGTTGCCCTGCAGTAAATGCCTTCAAACCCACTTCTTTTCCTTTGCACATCAGGCACATGGAGGCATTCTCTCCAATGGGAAACAAAGCTTTGTAGGCTTCTCCCAATTCTTTCTGTAAAGTCTCAGTACACACACCTCCTGTAAAGCCTCCAGTCCAAGAGACACCTCCAGGTATTTTTAAGAACAAACTGACTTACACCTCTCTGTTCTCAAAGCAGAATCAGTTAGCCCAGGCTCTGCTTTTGCCTCCTAAGCTGCACTCTCTGCCAGCTATTCTGTACCAAGTTCGTGCTGTGCTGCTTTGCAGAATTCCTCCACCACACATTCACTAAACTTTATATTTTCCTGTCCACTCTTTAATAAAACACACATTGCCACAGCTGTGAATATGGACAAAGAATGCAAAAGCACATCTCCCTGAGGTGATTCAGTCTGTGTTGGGTTAGACATGATGAATCTCTTGGATAAATAAATTTGTACCAAACAGCATGCAATTATTGCTTTACATACTATGAATAACATACCTATTTCCACTTAAGATGTTCCGAATTTTAGTGCAGTAATTGTTATGGACAGTAACAGACAAACAGAACTGGGAGAATAGTACCACCAGAGGAATCTGGGATAAAGTACACAAGCAGGATCCCTTCAAGTAGCTTATAAGTGTGGAAATGGGTTTTCAAGTGTGCAGAACATCATATTTAAATAAAAATATTTATATGATGGCAATAACAGAGCATACAGAAGTGTGAGAGAAGAAGGATATATTTGAATTTTATGTCAAGGAGATGAAATCAAAAGAAAGGGGGAAAAGATACAAAGAAAATATTAAAATGTCAATATTAACAGAACAAATCTTACCACATAAAATCCATAACCAAGATGAGTTTAAAGGACTCTACAAATAAAGAAGATGTATCATAAAAGTCTAAGACATATCTTTTATTTGCCTTCCTACAATCTAATATTTAAATACAAGGTTATTCTCTCCAACCTTTAACTCTCAGAGCTTAAAGCCCCAGACTGCAACTCTCTAAATATGTTTCTTCATTTTCAAAGAAATATCTGTGTAACAGTCCTGTAAATTAGAAACACATTGATTAAAGGACCAATATTATTACAATGAGATAATTAAAAATTAATTTCAGCAAAGGAACAAAACATAAAAATAAATTAATAAATACAGGTATGTGGGTAGGCACAGAAGAAAATACTCAATGCAATAATTAACAATGTGCCAAATAACAAATATTTATTTATTAATCTCATGGCTTCTTTGATGGCACTGGATTCCTCTCTTTCTGTTTAGCAGCTTTCTCCATTTTCAGCTGAAACGAGAAAAGACACCAGCAGTGGTTCAAACATTGATTTGCATATCAGCTAACAATGCAATATCAAATGTATAGACCCAGAGAAAGGTACACAGCATTATTATCCCAACATAGCACTGCTCACACTTGCACCACAAGACAAAGGAGCACTTCCATGGCGCTGCAGCTGCTCCCCTATTGCAACCAGGCTGCCTTATCTCTGATAAAGGCACTTTAGGTATTTGAATATCCCTCAAGGCCAGTGTGTCTCAGTTGAGAAACTGTAGAATTTAACAGTAAAGGTACTTTAAAAACATTGATTAGACACTTTGATGTATCATGCATTTAAATTAATGTAACAGGTTAGCCTCTCTGATTGGTATCTGTAGTAATGGCGTTATAGGTCAGAGTTAAAGGTTCAGGGTTTATCTCTGTGTCAATGAAAGGTGGAGCAGTTTTATTGCAGATGTCTAACAGACACAGTTAGACAAACCAGCACACATAATACTACACAGGAATGGTGCTGAACCTTCATCTCAGAGCCTCCCTGCTGGTCCACAAGGCCGTGACTTCCTCCTGTAAGATTATTTCTACACAATAGGCTCTTGTAGCATTGTAAAATTTATCAACACATACACATTTCATTTCTCTGTCATTTCGTAGTCAGACTATTTATCCAAATACATCCATTGGTTTTAGAAGCTACAATTTTTCTCAAGTACTGTTAGATTAGTGAATGAAATCACATTTAAAGTAATTATAAAAAAGGGATGCAGAGACTTTTGCATCCCATCTAACACGCACGCTGCTACTAAAAATGCAAGAAAAAAAGAACATGCTTTTCCCCATCATCAAATAATACCAAGACTTCATTGGGATGTCTACGGATGAACTCACTGCTAAGCAAATGTTGTTGGTCTACACAAAAATGCATTTTAAAACACTTTTTCCCCTTTGGAGGCTTGAGGCTTTTATCTAAAATTCCTACTACCTTTTGCAAAGAAAATAAAATCTCTGGGGGAAAAAGAAACTGAGAAATTTGAATTTGATGTTTTCTATGAACCAATGTAATATCTGTAACATCTGTCCATGTTTTCTGATGATTTGCAAAACAGACTATTTTGTATTTCAGAAAGCTAGAACAGCTTTCTCCTTAACAAACACCTTGTTGCAAGCCAGCAAGAAAAATAGCAAAACAGTTTAGATTTTAAAAGTTAATTATGCAGCATTGCCTTACAAAAGAATTCATAAACAGTCGAGACATACTTCAGCTGAGATGGTGGAGCTAAAGGGCTAATGTGAGAAAAGAATAGGTATTTAAATATGTGGATAACCTACACCACAGGGCATTGAAACTGAAGATAGTGTGGTGGAGGCACCTCTGAGTGATACAGATCATCTAAGAAAGACCAAATTCAGCCAAACTTACACAAACAGTCACTATTAAAAAAAAAAAAAAAAAAAAAACCAAAAACATTGTAAAGTTTTATAAGTGAGGTAGCAAATACACAGTTCTAAATGTCACAGGGGAGTTTCTGTGACTCTGCGTTGTTGTTTCTTTCTGTCATATACTAAAATGTTTTGGTTTTCTGTAATAGTTACCCTCAATTAAAATTTGCCTGGTTAAGGTAAATGCCATCCCACACATGACTGACCTCTGAAATTTTGTAGTAGCCCATAGCTGTATTTTAAAATTTATGTTAAGAAGCTAGCTTTCTCAGCAATTGAGAAGGAATTATATAATGCATTTATATGCCACTTAAATCATACATTTATAGAGTTTAGACATCCTTTTTTGAAAGTGTATTTAAATTAAGCCATAAATGTAGTAACTTGCCCGTTCTTGATAGCGTTTTTCAAAGTAAGCCATGTCATCAGCTTCTGATTGTTTTCCATGAGAAACTTGCCCTGTGGCACTTGAACTACCTGAAAAAGAAAACATAAACAGATAACAAACCCATTTTTTATTAATGATACTTGTTATCCCATTAGTTATGTCTCACATTTGGCAAAATCCTTTTAAAATGGGAACTCACCTTTATAGGCAAGTACAAAACACAGCATTTGGGACCAGACTTTTTAGTCTAGGCTTGCACCTACTATAAATTGTTTTAAAGGCGTTCAACTGTTACATTAATTTGTAAATTTTGTACTAAATAAGGGACATAAAAAAAGTGTAAGTGATCCATAATCCCATGTAGAAAAAGCTTTCTGACAGAAGGCAATTTCACAGGATTGTGCTGACTATGTACAATCCATTCAGATATGATGAGTTTCTAAGAGGAATTAAGAATTTTAAAATCTGATCCAATGAACACATGACACCATTGATGGGAAAGATAACAAGCACTAACAAAAAATACTTTCAGGAAAAAAACACATCACAAGCAAAAATAACAAGCATTATATTATTCAAAGCATTTGAAGTACATGAATGTTGTACTAACTTATCATATATCAAAGCTTCTATATTCATTTGAATGCCCTGAGCATCCTTCAATTCATTACTAAAATCAATTACTTATATATAAAATGCTTTTTGTATAACAGTATTATCCTACTTATACATCACCTGCTATTTGTGGCATGGTTTGAGTGGAACTCGAAGGCCCCTGAAATGCTTTTAGAAATGGATGATCCATGCTAGTAATGGGGGCTTCTAAAAGTTCAGCAGAAGGAGCACCTGTCAGAAAATAAGTTGAATGGAAACAATAATTAACTCCAGGAGATATAGTCCTAATACCCATTCTGGGGTCAAAACAAGGTTACAGATTCATATCTATAACTCTCAGCAGAGACTCCATAAACTGGAGTTAACTAAAGCATCACAAGGATGGCTTCAAAGGCATTGAAAAGCTTTGTTTCTTCAATTACTACAGTAATGTTTTACTTTCTACACTTCAGACAAATCCAGGAATTCAGATCAGAATTTAAAAAATAAATAAGGGGTATCTGGCAATAATAGATAAAACAGTATTTGGCTCAAAACATGTGCATTACTAACTGACACAAAATTACAGAGAAGAGAAAGTATCAAGACCAACTAACAAGTCTGTTAAAAGGTTCTACCGATTATGTCTTATTTTTTATGCTGAACAGCTATTAACCTTTGAGTTTGGAAACAAAAATGCTGTAAATATATAACCAAGAAATACCAGGGCAGTATTGGGCTAAAGGACTAACATAAATAGAACATGGAAGTACTAGGTTACAGGAAGTACTAGAAGTTACAGGCTCCCTCTAAAGGATATGCTGCATTTCAAGAAGAAGCAACTGGTCTGAACACCAGAATTGCTGAAAAAGAGGTTTTTTATCGACTTACAACAGTGAGCAGGACAATGTGATCCCTTAAAGCCTTGAGGACAGCTGGAAAGGAACCATCTTTCTGCAGTTCTACTTCTATTCATCCAACTTGCCTTCAAACTTTGAAACTCTATTTTGATTTAGTACTTTTCAAAACTTAAGTGGAGAATTAAAATTTCATCTCAGGTCAGCTGCACATACCTATTCCACTGTCATCAAGCCTCATGTAGCCTTCTGCTAGTGAGCTAAAACCAGTCAGTCCTCCCATAGCAGCGTAAGGAACATCCTGTCCCACAGGCTTTCCTTGGGCTAAGCGCTCCTCTTTCGTTTCCACAACTGTTTCATGAGCATATGCTGGCTGACCACATGCACAGGTAAAGCAGCTATGAAAGCCTGAACACTTGGAACCTAAGAAACAAATAAATGAGTGAGATGGTGATGAGATTTAAGCATCCAGCTGTATGAAAAGGCTGTACAAAAGAGAAAGAATGACTCTTAGGATTAGATCATGAGGGCCATCCAGTCACAGGATCTTACTGGTGACCTGTCTGCCCTAGCTACATCTAAAACTGTCATCAAAGCCCCTCTGGAGCAATGACGTGAGCAAGAAATTGAGGAAGTGGTGCTGCAAATGTTTCTTTATACATATCATCCTGTTCCCAGCTCTCAGTTTGTTTTGTGGAGCACCATGAAAAATTTCTTTAAGTCTTTCCTAGTATGTTGATCACATTCATGTGATGTGAAAATGTTAAAGGGTTTTTCATATTATTTTGGGCACTTCTCAGTAACAGAGCTCTATGTTTGGAATACAGTATATGCCATATATACAGAGTAACAAGCAGCTAAGTTTTTCAGTTATAACTTATCTGTCACATTAGATTTATCAACGCAGGACAAGACTAATACCATTACATTAAAACAAAACAAGTCTGAAATAGAAGCAATTCTTGGCACATCACAGCAAAATCTGTGAAGCCCTCAGAAGTGTCTAGTATTTTTGGGAAACACTATTTTATATATTAATACTGAAAACACTCTGTTCTATGGATTCAGTCTGAATTATTCAGCTGCACATCTAAGATTTTCACATTACTTAGTGCAAATTCTTGAGAGGCTGTCATGTACATATTTTATGGTTTATTATGTGGGATATGAGTCTCAACCAGCAAAAACTGTTTGCACTTTTTTCTGTACAAAATAGAGACATTCCATGGAAGAAATTTAATAAGAGTACAGAACTCCAACAAAAAAAAAAAAAATCTTCATTTGAGGTTTCAAACTAAAACACCTCTATGCATTATTTATTTCCTGTGGTTAATAATTACTGTTGTTTCATAACATTAACCTCAAACAATTGCAGCAAAAAGCTTCCTCTTTATCCCTTTTCTAAGATCTTGCTGAAACTCCATTCCCATTTGCATTTCTAGAGTCACAATCTCTATGGTCATGAACCACTTTGTTAGAGTGCTAGCAATAGAATTATTTGGGAACAGAGTAGCACTTCCTGTTGACTTGAGAAAAGACATAAAAATATATTAATGTTCTAGTCAACTTGACAATAGAGAAATGGAGGTCAACGCTTCTCTCTCTCAAACTAGCAAGTTCAGGTAGAAAAGGCACGTGCATGCAGCAGAAGTGACAAACTGCAAACAGGGTGCTTTCATACCGTCTAACTTCAGACATCTGTCTCCATAAGCACCTATCTGAAGCACTCACAGATTTAAACTCCTTCACAGGACCTGGGGAAACTAAGGATGTTGTTCTAAACCCTCCTGTGCAAAAGGTGATGTCCTCCTTCCCGCTTCTCATCCTTCCTCAAGGCTGAAAACACGCATTGGCGACAAGAGCAGCACACACCCGATACCCTGGGCAGAACGGCCATCCTCACACGCTGTTCCTGTTGGATTTCCTGGCAAAGAGTGCGGTGACTTACAGGAGTTGCAGGGGAAGCCCGGCGCTGCGCTGTGCTGCTCCGCCAGGTGCTTGCAGCGGCAGCGGACGGGCTGGGCGCCGTTCAGGGGCACGAACTGGTAGGACTGGCACGGGCAGCGCTTCACTCTGCAGGGCAAACTGATAGGGCGCTCCTTGGGAAGCACCTCGTGGTCTGTTCTGTGTTGTTTATACCTAAAACAGGAGAGGTAATGACTTTTATAACTTTGTTAGTATTTATGAGAAAACTACCTGAAAGGCTTGCTATTCACGTCACAAGTTTTGTTTTGAAGTAGCTTTAATTGTACTTTTTACTCTTAATAGTGAAATTTCAATTAAATGCATACTAGCAGGGGATTTTGCATCTATTCATTACATAAATAACACATATCCTTATATTTCATTTTGAGAGCGCTACCAGAATCAATCTGATCTACATTAACTCATGCCTTGCAGCTGAATTTATTGAGACTACAAAATCATTTTGGTCTCAAAAATATATTGACATTTACACTTACAAACAGTTGTTACTATTTAAAACCTAATTTTCTCAACCCTTAAACCTTAAATAAATTTGCCAATGTGCTACTGTAATGTGTCTGGGATTATTTCAGATTTTCCTGATTGTTAAATATACTAAAGTGTAAAAGGAGGGAAGATACCCACCGGTGAGTGCAAAAGCACAGTGTCTCTGGCCCCACAAGCTTACAGTCCATGCCAGTTGGTGATCTCCAGCTCACATACAATCTGTTCTGTAGCCGAGCTGGTAATACTTTTCTTTTGTATTCTTCATATTCCTCAGGAGTAAAGAGGTTTCCTCCATCATCATCACCTACAATTCTGTATACATGGCATAAAAAAATCCATAAGAAAATGAATACAATAAAAGTAGGTTTCTCAGATTTTTTTTTTTCAAATAATATATAACAAAACTTTTTCTGTAAATGCAAAACAAATCTTGTATTTCATCTTACTCTTCTAATAATTTAACAGAACAATGGCTGATTTTGGAGAATATTTTTTGAATAATGCTCTTTTAAAAAATTTGCTCTGATGGACTGAAAACTAGTTCTAAGAGAGAAGGAAAAAAATAACACAACTACCAGGCGTTCTTTCAGAAGAAAAAAAAAAAAAAAGCAATGCGCATCAAGGGTCATGTAACCAGCCGGCTCTGCCTCAGACTTCTTCACGGACCTCTGGCAAGTTACTTCGCCCATCTACACCCAACTGTACTGCGAACTTGTATCACGATCTTAGTCAAACTTGCATCAAATATTACTCTAGTCTGAGTATTCAGCTGCAAGCAAGTAACCATCAAAGTAACAAACAACACATCTAAATTGTCTTCTGTTTTGCAAGAAGACTATGCTGGTTTCTGTAGCAGAAGTTGGTGGGGGCTGTATCCCTCAGTTCAGACAGGCCCATTTGTTTAAGCTATCACTATGTTCAAATTCAAGGTCATTGAATAGCTGGAATTCTGGAGCAGCATCCAAATTCTACATTTATGGAAACAATTAAGGACAATAAATAAAATATATACAAATGAGACTTAACTGCAGCATTTATCTTTGCTAAAAGTGATTTTATTAATGTCTGTAAATATCTCAGTTATTATTTATTGGATATGCTAAAACATGCTGAATGAGTGGTTCTTTGTCAAATATTCTGTGGATTTGTGTGCTGCCAGCACTGTACAGCACCAGAATAATGTGCCAACACCATGCTATCATTTGCATGTCAAACTCAACCAACACCCACTGAATCACTGCACATCTTACGTAAGAAATACCACTGTGCCTTCCTCTAGTGTTTTACTGGAGGTTTTCCTAAACTAAATTAAGACCTCAGCACAACGACTGTGTTTATTTTTGTTCAGCCTTTTGAGAGGACCGCTGACAAGACTGGCAAAGACACACAGCAGTGTAAGGGATTTGTAAAATGCAAAACTTGGAACTCGTGATGCACAGAATTCCTCGTATTCTGAAAGAGCACTACGGCTGGCAGATTATCAAATAATGGTTTGGATTGGACGGGACCTGAAAGACCACCTAATTCCAGAGCCCCTGCGGTGGGCAGGGATGCCACTGGTAGACCAGATGGCCTCTCCCAGCACATCTCACGCTGCCCTGGATGCGAGGGACGATGCGTGACTTCACCGCTGACAGCCAAGGCTTGCGGCGCGTCCTCACCAGGGCGCACCAGCCACGGCTCCTCCGACTGCGACAGTGGGCGGCGGGAGGTGCGTGTGGCTCCACGAAGCCGCCGCACACCCCGAGGCAGCCGATTCAGGAGGGCCGGAGGCGGGCATCCCTCCGGGAGGAATCCCGGGCCGCCGCAGGGGATGCGACACGGCTGGAAACGCCCGTCCCCCGCCCCAGCGACCCCAGCGCCCCTGTGCGCTCACCGCCGGTACTCCGCGTACTCCTCCAGGGCCCGCGCGTCCACCTGCAGCCGCTCCATGCCCGCCGGGCCGCCCGGGGCACGGGGCTGGGAGCGGGCGGGGCCCGGCGGCGCCCGCGCACGGGGTGCGGCAGGCGGGAGGCACCGGGGACAGGCGGGGCAAAGGCGGGGGACAGGCAGGAGAGGGCTGGGGGACGGAGGGGGACAGGCGGGGCAAAGGCGGGGGACAGGTAGGAGAGGGCTGGGGGACGGAGGGGGACAGGCGGGGGAAGGCGGGGGACAGGTGGGAGGCAGGCGGAGGGGAGGCGGGCGCAGGCGGGCGGCTCGCTGCAGCACGCTCCGCACCGGCGGCTGAGGAAGGTGCGGGTGCGGGTGCGGGTGCGGGGGCAGCGTGCGGGCCCGCGGGCACGGCCAGCCCCGCGCCGCGCTGTTGTCCGGCCGGGGCGTCCTCATTACCGGGCGCGCAGCCGGGCGAGGCCCTGCTTTGTTTTATTCCGGCTTGCGCAAAGCAGAGAGCTAGGTGGTAACCCACAGAAGGCTAGGTCATCAAAACTTTACACTATTGATTACATTTTAACAAAGGCATCAACATTCATTGGCTACAAATTGAGTATTTTTCCTACTAACTAGTATTCAGCCCCCTATTTGCTAGTCGTGCCTCTCTTGTCATGCTAATTAGTACACAGGCACAGTTCTGCCCATTTGAGTCTGGGGTCTGTTTTGAGTAGGTGGCTGTGGTCGCCCACAGCTGGAATTCCCTTTCCCTCGGTTACTGCTCAGTTCTGCTGGCTTCATTCCTGGTGGCTCTCATCCAGCCAGTCCGTTCATCTTGGAATTGTCTTCTCTTTTCCCAAAAACAAAAATTAGCCAAGCGTACAACGTTCACAATCCAATTGCTCAACCGTAACTGTCCAGCTATGGCAAATGATTAACAACTAAAAAAATTGCAAAGTTTGATTCAAATCTTGAGGAGCTCGATATCAAGGACAGGACACACGTGGTGTGTGCACACTCTCTGGGAAGGCAGGCACCCCCTGTGCCCCTTGAGATGGACACTGAGCAGCAGTGCCAGGGCACAGCCACACACACCCAAAAGTGCAGTGCCTCAGAAGGGCACCCACAGCCTTGGGTGCCACGAGTCACACAGCACAGCACCCAAGCCCTCCCAGTGCCTGCCTTGCACCCACATTGCCCTCTGCTGCTGCTGCTGCTTAGACCACTGCTTCTTTTCTGGTGGGTAGGTGAGGGGTACTTTTGGTTGGTCACTGATTCCTCTTCCTTTACAAAATAAAATGTATGTTCCATTAGAAAATATGTTTTACTTGTAGTTCAAGACTACAGGAGGCCAAGGCCAACTTTGGGAAACATTCTTAACCAAAGATGGTTCTTAGACTGGCAACCTGCAAGTCCCTATTCTTCTCCATATGCCACAGTCAATGTAACCATATTGGAACAACTCCAATGTGTTTTTAGTGAACCCACCAAAGGCTGCTATTTCTGACACTGCACTAACTGTGTAAATTGACTGCCTCCCCTTGATACAAACAATCTGGCCACAAAGTGATCAAATATGTGATGAAAAAAATATAGTACGTTTTCCTTATCCAAGCTTTAGGAAACTGGTATTTAAATTGTGCTCTGCCTGCTAGCATAAGCTATGAGCCTTCAGATTGTCAAACTGAGATCCAAGAGGAAAGGCTTTTTTCATGCCATACAATACTTCCCTGGCAAAAGGAAAAAAAAAAAAAAAAGCAATTCAGAGAAATCGCCACATAGTTTTGAACTGGGCAAGCCACCAGCAATGCAGCAGAAGGTGGTGAAGAGGAATGCCACAAGGACCATGGCAACGTTTTCCCAAAACATCCCCCAGGAGGAGATGAAACAACAGGGACACTCTCAGTATCCAAATAAGATGATAGGGCATATGGTCTGGACATTTGTCCTGTGGCTATGCCTCATGTATAAGAAATTTCAGCAGAGAGGACAGCACTGCAACACAACACACACACTCTGTCACACTGAGATCTGAACACAAACAGGTCCCCTCAAAGGCAGGAAGATAAGGGAGCAAGTCCCCACTGCAGTCAATACATCTGCAAGTAAACTAGTGAAAGAAAATAAAATCACACCAAAAAACCCAGGATTGTCAGGGAAAAGTCAGGGAAGAGAAAATTTCTCCTGTGACCAAAACTTAAAAAAAAAAAACAGATGGGGAAAAGGGGACCTTGAAAGCAGAACTAGAAGCTCTGCAGACAGAATTTGAACATAATGAGGAACACACTGCTCCACAGGAGCTGCACAGAAGTGAAGATCTCTGAGATACCTTATCTGTATGCACATTTTGCTGGTGCCAGAGATCCCAGTACTGCCAATAAAGGGGGAGATGTGGGGATGGGGGGAAGAGCTCTGGCAAGCCTGGTTCACACAGAATGAGCAGAGCTCCTGTGTCACGGGTTGAAGTGCCTCATCTGTGCTTGTTAAAAACAGTCCCCTGAAATACAGCTTGGGTTTAGACAGAAGAGCCACATTTCTTAATAATGCAGCTTTCAGTGAGGGGTACAAATGTTAGCCTGTATGTCACTCATGTCAGTGTTTATGCATGAACAACCAGTGACAACTTACTGAGAGTAGGAAACCAAGTCTTTTTTTTTGTGAGGCATCTGTCCTATGAACTATTTCCCATTAAAAAAAAAAAAAAAAAAAAGAAAAAAAAAAGAAAAAAAAGGAGGATTCTTTTCCTGGATTTGATCACAGCAAGTGTTTCACAATACAGACAATGTTCACTTTATTAGCACCCAGTGCTAGTAAGACCCCCCCAAGACCTGCTTGGATCCAAATCTGGATCAGTAGACCTATTTGGTAATAGATATAAAAAGCAATTTGTGACTGAGAAAAAGAATTCTTAGCTAATAAAAATATTTCAAACACTCTTTTTACTGTCATAGCATGAGTATTGGAATACATTTATACATTTTGAATTTAGAAAACCCATTCCTGTCTGTCATCCCTTCTACGAGATAAATAGACATCCAAAATAAAATTCATTAAAGACTGCTCAAAACAGATTTTTTTTTTTCCAAACTACCTAATAATTTTGAATAGCAGGGAAAAAAGAAAGGCTTTCAGCTACTGTGAAGAAGCCATGACACAAGGTAAGTAAAAGGAACAGGAATCCAGATGGCATGCTTTTACCTCCTGTAGTTGTGATGTAGCATACGGATACTGCTGGCCCAAGATCTCTGAACACATCAAAGTGGGTTGAACATATGGACACATACTTACAGTACAGCTCTGTGAGACCTAAGGTGCTGCCTACACATCAAAGGCAACAGCTTAATGCTTCCCAGGGTGTTGACAGTCTCCCTCAACACCCTCTGTTAACAATAAAACGTGTGACCCTTTACATTTTTTTAAACCCTTACAAGTTTGACAAGTGTTTAAAATTATTCTCAGTGAAACATCTATAAATTGAAGATACCCACTTCACTAATACAAAAATAATTAATTTAGGAGAAACCTGTTTTAATATTTTAAACCTCAAGTCATCATTTTGAAGTAGTAGCCAGTCATTCTATTTCTATGGATCTGGTCAATGACTATCTGATTAGCTCTTCCGAAAACAAGAATTTAAGAGGCATAAAGCATAGCAGAAACAGTTTCTGTCAAATTGTTTCCTCGCTCCACATATATTGTCAATATCCCAATATACTTAAAAGTAAATGCAAACAGTACTCACTTTTATAAACTTCTAACTATGACCATAGACTAAGTACAATAAAAATTAGTTTGTGTATTATTAAACCTAATTTACAGTATTTTAAAATATCAGCATGTCTTTCTTCAGTTTTGCTTTTAGAAAAGCAGAACCTGATTAGACACCAGCTGACAAAGTAAGTTGATGAATGCCAAAGGGAATATGGAACCTAACCTCATGTGCAAGCAAGGATCAATTAATAATGAAAGGTTTTTGCTGGAGGTACTGACAAACAGTTAGGAAACATATAGTAATTATGATCACTTACAGATAACTCAGCAGCATGTGATGCCACTGGTGCTTAAGAGATGTGATTCCATGAATGTATGTAACGTGATTTTTTTTTAAATTGGGCTTCATTTTAATAACTTAAAGGATATTTTCAAATGCCTATGTCCATAATTCCTAACAAACTGATATTAGTGAAATACCCATTCAGTACCAATCTTTTCCACATGAAAAACACAGCAAAAGTCTAATTCACTTTTTGGCTGCTATAAAAGGGAAGTCTCCCATTTTGCTCTTGCCTTTGAAGGTGGCATGCTATCAGATACACTAAATTGAACCTCAAGGTAGCAGACTCTTTGTTTTGTAAAATACAGAATGAAGAAAGAGCACAATTGTTACGTAAAGAGGGTCATATTTAGATTAATTAATTAACATTCTATATCACCTTTAAAAATACCACACCAATTTTACGTAAGAATGTTTTAGACATCCAGCTCATTCAATTAGTCAGTGTATTTGTAGGAATGAAAAGATTTTTCAAGAAAACATAATAAACTGGGATGTTAAATTTTAGGCAATTATTTTTCTAAATAATGTCTTGATAGAGGCTCCTAAATTTACTCTACTTCTGGATTCCCACGAACAAAGGCTGTGACAACAGCAAATACCCCTGGAACCTGTACCTGCAAAGGATGTGCTTGGTTGCTAAAGCAACTTGCACACATAACAAACATGATGCAGTTTGGAAACCTCTGAATTAGCAAGTATTTTTAATTAGAATTCAGAACTATCTAGTCAGCTTCTTTAAATGACTGTGTTATTAAAAAACAAGGATTTAGCAGTCACTTGGAAAATCAGACAACTGTGCAATATGTGATGCATAATACTGGGTGCCAAGGATACTGATGTTTCCTCACACTAAACACAAGAACCTCTATATCCTGGGCCATGATTCTGTATTTTAAAAATTATTTCAATTAAAACAGATGAGCAAACTTCTGTGATCTTAACATTGCATAGGCAGCTTGTTAAGAGCTGTATCAGTGTGTTTGAGAGTCTGTCCATCTGTCCCTCCAATTATCTCAAAAGTTCTTTAATGTGGAACCCCTCAGCACTTCTTCACATACAATTGTGAGAAAATGTTTGGATATCTTCATTACATTAAGATTACTATGCAGAGATTCAAAACTATTTATTTAAATGAGAAAAGCAACAGAAAGGACGAGCGAATAAAGACAATTTCCCCAAAATTTTTGCCTGCCAGGCATTTAGTTGTATAACTCAAGGGCTGTATTGAGACCTGTGCTGTTTCTGTCTATTTAGACAGCAATCAATATATACTTATTTTTCTTCATTAGAACTTCTGTTTGGAATTGCATCGTGAACATTTTTTTTGCTACCTACATTAAGCAATCACTCAGAGGCACAGAAGTACTGCCAATTACCTGGTGAAATCAGCTGATAAACACTCATGAAGCAAACTGCAGCTGGGAAAATTCAAATCCCCTAATTTACCAAAAGATTTCAAGAACAAAACCAAAACACTCCCCCATCCCCCATATCAGCAGTTATTTATATAAGAGAGCTTATATGTCCTCCTGACTTCCAAAGAACAGGAGAAGAAAGAAAAGGAAATAATACCCCAAACCCCATCCAGCCTAAGAACCTAAGGAGATTCCATACACACAAAACTTGAATGAGGTCACTTTGGGAGGCTTTGTGATGTCATCTGAAGTGGGAAATACACAGTTGTATCATAAAAACTGCAGCACAGCAGAAATACTACTTAAATATTGCTCATAGAGAAAAAATATGCTTGGCAACACAACCAAATGCTGTGTGATACTATCAAGTATTTTGGATCTGGGGTAAGTTGTAGGCTTTCTGTTGGCTTTCTTCACAAGCCTTTGGTTTCTTTACACAACTTCCTACCTTTGTAGGGCTGCCACACCTCTCACATGTCCTGTCTATAAGGCTGCAGGGTGGAACTTACAGATGTTTTCTTACTACTATTGTTAATAGCAAAGTCAGCTGAGACCCTCCCATCCTTACCCTTTTTTACCTTAGTCTGCACACCTTTAGTTTTGCCACTCTGAAAAGAACTATGTGTTTATAGCACAAAGGCTTTGGTTTGTAATTACCAAATATCTAGGAAATAAACCAGACAGATGGATATAAAAATCTATCTATCTTAATATTGTCAATCTGCAGGTTTAAAAGAAGTTCTGCACAGTTCTTTACTCTTTGAAATTTTTGCCATTAAAGATCTAAATCAATTCTTTTATTTTTAATTCTTTCTCCCCTCACCACTAACCAAAGGAAAGGTTCAGGGCATTAGAATGTCAAGAGCAAAAGAACTCAGTGACTAAGAAGGAAGAATACCAGAGAGAATACTACTAAAACTCAGAGATGTACAATTTTCCAATCCAGAAACTGCTAGACCATATGTAGCAAGAATGACAACCATTTAATTACAAAAAACAAACAAACAAACCCAGGAATATTTACAAGTACAATTAAAAATTTATTTTTCTCTTTCCGCATTGAAGTGAGTACATGTTTACACACAATGTGACAAAAAGAATCATCTGAATACTAAATAAGTACGAATTAATATTGCAATTGTATTTTCCTTTATAACCATCACGAATATAAGCAGGAAAACAGAAGAAAGGAAAAAACTGCATAACTTTGCCTGGTATATCACCCAGTGCCTCTGGTTTTACTCATTCCCAAAACCTCACAGGACACTTTTGGCAAAAGTCCCTGAACATTCTCTCCCCCCCAACATTGAGTACAGTTTAAAAAAACAGGTTCAGTGGCACTTCAATATTATTTCAGTAACATTTGAGATACAGTGCACCCAACACTGCATGCAATTCACTTTGCTGTAAGGCTGACTTAGATATAAGGCAAACATTACCTTAGCTCTCAAATATTCCATTATTAGACACCCTTAGTACACATACTGCTGTTAAATGCAGAGATGCCTTGATTCCCTTCATTGCTTTTCCTTCTGATCAAGAAAGTAATTCAGGGAGATGATGTGCTATACTAAGCACAAACTGCAAGGCATTAAAATCTTAAAACAAACAGCAATGAATAAAAATAAACTATATTCACACATTCAAAACTTATTTCCATCACTTAAATAATTTTATCTGCAATTACAAAATACATACACTTAAATATCTTTTTAAGAAATAATAATCTAAGATATCACATATGATGATTTGCTTTTGATAATCTAACTGCCCTATCTCTGGCATAAAGATAAACCTGGACAGTGTTACTACCTAGAATGTTTTCCTATTATAATAAATTTTCTTAAATATACAGTAAATTCTCTTTAACTATTCTGACAGATAGTGCAAATAAAGACATTCTTTGGGTCACAATTTTAAAATATTACCACCAATGCTATCCTCAATTTAATATTGTTTTAGTAAATAAGTAAGAAAATATTTTAAATGTACACATCTTCCAACATCTGTTTAGCAACACATTTTCCTCAGTTACCTTGGCTTAATGCAGATCACAAAAAATGAATAAACTACAATACTGCTCACCTATCCAAAAGATATGTTATATTCATACTTAAATAAGTGTATTTAGAAACCTACCTATAAGTTTCTCATTGTTTTCCACGTATTGTTATTATCCAATGGCTTACTACATCAAATCATATCAAAATATCTTTAGAGACAACAAAGATCACTTCAGAAGCACTGCTCAATGGCAATGAAATAATGCTTTGAGAACCTAAGCATACGTTAGGCCTACATAGATCCAAGCACGTTGTAGAATACAATAGTTTGCGCTTGTTTTGGAGTCAACTACTGCTTTGCCTTAGCCAGAGGAAAAAAGCTTATCTTAAATATTATCCATCAATGACATAGCAACACAAAGCAGGCTTGCTTGCTATCTAATGTTGCTTGCTGGCTTTACACGTTTGTTTGAAGTCACTGGCACCTGATGGTTAGTTCCATTCGTGGTGTTTGTCGCTGAGCCATTCACAACGATGTAATCAACCTTGTTTTCCAGTTTCACCAGGCGTTGTAAGATGTCATCCAGAAGAACAGCAATTGTTCTCTTAAGATCAGCTGAAGATAATGGAAAAAACAAATTACAGCCTGTTGTTTACTCTGTGTGGAAAAGAACTGCCATTTCAACATAGTCACATCTTCAGACTTGCTATCCCCCTACCATACTTTTTGGATAGGAGTGCCGACTGGTCTAGAATACAGAATTAAACAGCTGCTTGAATTTTCTTTAATAACATTTCTTTGTTATTTTAGGGAAGGGAGATACCACCATAACAGGGAACTGTGAAGGCAGACAATTAAATACTAGAGTATAAAAACAAAAACACTAGCTGAACATTAGATGCGGCTATTCAAAGATATAATTTCAAATTTCACCCAGGCAACAGCATTGGAATACCCAGCTATGTCATCTTTTAGCCTTGGATGCAAGAGAGTATATCTAAATACTTTCCAGCATAAAAAAAGGTAGTTAATAGCTTTCCCCTAAATGACAGATTTAGCCCATAGAAAAGCTGTTTTTAAAAGGTTTTTAGCCCATAGAAAAGCTGTCTTTATTGCTTCTTACATAAGCTATAAAGCTAGGGTAAAAAATTCTATTTATATCTTTATTGACTGAAAAATAAGAGAAAAGATGGTAAGAAAATTATGATCTGGAACACAAAACCAGTAACATCTTACTACAAAAATCTATTTATGCTGTTGCTAATCACTACCTTCTTCCAGATTTGAAAAACATTAACAAACTTACCAGATTTTACAAGGTGTTAAAATTCCCCTTACACATGAAGATTATACAAACAGTCTCTACCCCCTGTCCTCTAATCAGTTAACTAAGCAGAAAGACTGGGGAGAAAGATCACAGGCATCAAAGTGAAAAAACAGGCGTAAAACAGATAAAATTAAAAATTACTAGTAAATTAAATTTCAAAAAAATAAGTAATGTTAATTTTGAAAAAAAAAAAATTGCTAAACAACTCAAGCCAGAGCAGGGTCTGCTGTCACTAACAGAGAGTGGGTCATGTACTCTGTAGTATCATTCTGTGCTTAACAGTCTGATGGAGGGAATCGTCAAGTTTTAATTCTGATGATCAGCAGGTAGATCAAGAGATGACTTCAGTTTATATTAAACTTCAGACAAAACCACAGAAGACAAGTCTCATTTGGAAATATGCTGTAAGACTTACAGAGCAGGAGAAAGCTGCAGTACACAAGGATTTTTTGGTTTTTTTTTAATTGCAGAAAAACTTAATTACACAGTAAAGAAAGGAAGTCCTTGATGCCAAAAAAAAAAAAAATTGGGAGAAAACAGGGAAGAAAAGAGTAGGCAGTCTCTTTCTGTAATAAAAATTAATTTTAAGAATTAAAGAATTAAAGGTTTAAACTTTTTACTCTCCTATTCCTCTTGGGTTGTTCCTGCACATCTTGTTATCACAGATTTACTCTCTTCTTCCTTAGCAGCAGCAAAAAGACTTCAGACGCATTTTTGCTGCTTGCACTCTTACCAAAGGCCTGCAAAGGGCATCCTACAACAGGCAGAGCCATTTAAAGAAATCTTAAAGGGATCAAAGTTCATTACTATACACCTTTTGAGATACTATTTTTAAAAATAAACAATTTTAGTTATCTTTTCAATGTTTCAGAAGATAGTAAATACTGGCAACCTATTTATCAAGTTAGGTACATATTCACAAGACAGGCAAATAAGAGATATGATGCACCAAGTATTATAGCTCATAAGACAAGGGACATTGTCTCTTACAGCTACTTCTAAAACAAGGAGAGATTCTGCCAAAATCATAACTGCCTTGCAGTCCTGAGACTGCAAACTCAACTAGTATCTTCCTTTTTCATTGCTTTTTCAAGGAGAAGAAAATTCAATAAATAAAAGCAGGAAGCTAGAAATGAGATACTAGAAGAATCTGGAATGTTGAAGAGACTTCTATATAAACTTTGTTCCTGTATCAAGCACATGCTTATTCTTCAATAGCTGAAGATTCAGAAAAAGACAAATGTGCTGCTACTTCTGTAAGTAACCATATTCATGTACCTGAAGAGATCTAAATAAAATCCTGGAATGCAAACATGTCATGTATGAAGCTTGATTTTGCAACTCATCTTAATCTTCAACTTCATTGAATAAACTAAAATCAAATCAGTTAATACAGAAAAGTTTTTTTCTGCTGAAGAGCATAAACTACTTTAAAAAAAAAAAGAAAATTTATAACTTTACAGTTTTCAGAAAAAGAATATATTCAAGTAACTAGTATGGCTTTTTTCCTCTTACCATATCCTGACACAGAGGCTCCACCACCACCATTCATCAGGTTTTTGTTTTCTTCTGCCAGTGCTTTGACATATCTTTTACTGAGATCTAATATCTGTCCACGCAACTCAGCACTGCTTTGGCGTCTTGGATACTGGAAAGTGTAGCGTAGCAACATCAAACCCCAAATGATTCCAAAGACTAGTAAAAACATACTCAGTTTCTGGGACATATTTTTTCTTGAAAATGTTAGAAACATCTCTGATGAAGGCCACAGGCACGTCCTAACTTCGAGAAAGGCAACTGAATTTGTATTTTTCTAATTATATTACATATTAAACAAAAATAATACTTCTATGAAGTGAAAAATCTTCTGGCTGGATCATCTTGAATTTATCTTCTCATGTTTTAGCTGGTCTTGATTCCTGAAATTTGTAAAGTACGACTTGGTTATTCAAAACTGCTACAGTTGTTGAGATCAAGAACAAATATCAGTTTCCGAATATGGTATTATTGCATCATCTAGCAAACAAGTTTTTTTATCTGCTTAGAGGTTCAGTTATATTTCCTTCTCAATTGTTATTTACAGGGTTTCCTCTTCCTATTTTTACTGATTTTTATTCTCCAAAAATCAAAACTTCTGTGCTGCCAACCACAAGTATTTTAAAAACTGGAATTTAAACTGACTTTAAACCCAAATGCATTTGAAAGAAGATTTGCAGTATCTAGAAGAGAGCTGTATAACATTTCTGTACATTGGGATGAGTTATACACATACATCTAAACACAAGATCTTGTGAAATGATTCACATGATTCTTATTCTTCACTTTGACGTACAGCACAAGTGTGAACAGACAACACATGGAAAGATGTTTCTTGGTTGGTTAGTGCAAAGTTTCCTCTCCTGGGTTTGTACACCATTAAGGTTTTTTATTTGCCGTGGTGTCTTATTATTGAATAGAGATAAAACCAAAATAAATTGGCACATTGCACTTCAGGATTTTATTTTGACTTCTAAAAATGTCTTACCATAGAGTACCCAATTCTGATCCTTCAAGAGATGAAGGCTTCAGGAGGAAAGCAAATGGTAGGAAAGCTTCATCAGTTAAATAACAAATGTTCAGACAGTTGGAAGCAGTTTGAGCCACACATCTTCAGGAATGTCTGTACTGGGAAAAAAAAAGATTTAAATAAAAAGTGAGGATATCTTCATTTACTTGTAGAGTAGTTATAGTTGAAGGCTTCAAGCTACATGTGTTTAAATCAGAACTACATTTTCAAACCTAACTTCAAGCAATTGTTAGGGAAGAACATAGAATTACTCTTCATTTTGTTATGAATGCATAAATTTGAATGCCCAGTAACTGACTTCAACATACTTTAAAAAGAAAGCTTGATAAGCATCTCACTCAGCATCTCCTTCTTCTTGTGTTATAAAACAGTGACAACAGACATTCCAGATTAATCATATATGTACATGCACATATATTTACATAGGCATAATTCTCTTACTAATTTTTACCCCTCAAATAGATCCCACATTTTTCCATGTGCATACCTCATATTTTTCATTTTTCATCCATCTCTGACACTACTCCAATTATTCAATACTTTCTTAAAAGAGAACATCTATTATTTAATATTGTCCAGATAAAGCATTTTACACAACAGTAACATTTTTCCTCACTATTCCCAGTTCTTCCCCACATACTACCTGTCACAAGCACTTTTTAGACTGAAATTAGGCACGTAATAAGAGTTTCTCACCAGACTTTCTGTAGTGGCATTTACACCTCAGTTTGTATCAGAATATTGAGACCGAACTTCTTGTGCTGCTGAGCTCTCATCTAAATCTAACTCTGCCTCTATGGCACTTTTCATCCCCTCCACTGACCAGTTCCATCAGCCTTATGCCGACACCCCACTGTCTGCTGCCAACACAAGTGTCACTGCCAGCAGGGCGCCGGGCTCTGCTTGTGCTTACCCTTCACTCTTCAGATAATCCTCTCCACAGGCGAGCCAGCATGCCTGATTCAAGTGGCAAATTTTTGAAGTGCTCTAAAATCAACATGCATATCTAAATTATTCTGAAAATTATTAACTTAAGGCAGGGGTGACATCAGGAGTTGGGCACTAAAGTTGCTATAAAGTAACAACCAGTTGTGTGTAAAATGGCATATGGCAGCCAGTGCCAGTACATAAACTCTGACTGCTGAGTTCTCTAATGTAAGTGGCAATCCCAAGTCACTGAATGAAGTGACTTGGTGACTGTGCACAAGGACAGAGAGCAAACACACAGTAATATGAATTCCCACTGTAAATGCAGTGGGATATACTTGGTTCAAGGGATGTGCTTAATCCCCCTAAAACTGTTTTAAGATGCTAATTTGTCTTAAGTACATAAAATAAGTGGGAAAACAATAAAAACTTACATTCCACAGCATGAATATCTGGAATTGCGTGGCTTAAGATTTCCTGAAAAAGATCCTCCCCAAACATGCACTAACCAAAACTTCTTTTCCCTAGCTCTTTGCCAAATCCACGGCTCTGCACACAGACTTTAATGAATGAACTGCACTCACATCATTATGTATCTACATAATCTCTGAACAGTATCAAAAATTGGGGAAAACATTATGAGGTCTGGGAGAAGAGTATTCATGTGACGGCTCAGAAGACCAAACTAAGAAGACAGTGTCTTCTGGAGTATCTCTCCAGAAGACACTAAGTTTCAAACCTCATTCCAAACAGTCTCTACTTCTTCCATTTAAAAAAAAAGACTGAAAAGAACAGATAACTCTTGAGTTCACCTCCCCACAGATCTCCGGCCGTATCTCATCCTGAAGCCTTTAGACAATATCACTACAGTCCTTTGGAGTAGAAATAACTCTGCCATCACTCTGTAAATAAGACCACAAGCCAGGATAAGAGGTCTAGCCAAGAAGAACAGATTTAATAAACTCCTGCCAAGCAGCAGCAGGAATTGCAGACTGGGCCATCGCCATCTATGTCTGATTCACAGTGCACACACTGACTACTGAAACAAATGGAAATCAAGGACTTAACCTGCTGGGAAATTGCATAACATCCACATAGTGACATGAGGTAAAGGAACTCAGAGCAAGGTCTACCAAAATGAAGAAAACTATTTGTACTTGCCACTTTTCCTACAAATTTTTAAAGGCCATTCCCTCTTCATGAATTCCAGTGTAATCTCAAAGCTCTGGAGACTTGGTCTCCTCTTTCCCCCTGAAGTGCATGCACTTCTAGTGACTCATAAGACACTCCCTGCAACACCCTTGGGGTTAAAATTAAATTAAATTAAATTAAATAGCAAGCTTCTGCCCAAATGATTTGGAAGTAGGGAAAAAAAAGAGTATCGGAGCAGCAGGCACACATATTAGGAAGGAAATAGCACAGTAATATGGATGGGCTGGAATTTTCTTGTACCTCTTGTTGCCCTGAAGGGTCAGCATTTCTCGACAAGAACTTTATAGTTTCGACAAAACTTGGGCTCAGACTGGACCTTTGTTTTCAGTAATTTAGAGGTAGCATCCCATAAGACAACAGCACACATGAAAGAAAGTTAGTGCACTTTGTGATCTTTATTCTCCCTCATTCTCTTAAAGCACGCAATATGCTGAGTTGGAAATCCTCCCTGAGCAGGAAAAAAAGGAAGCTGAGACTTCCTTCTTCACACTGATTTATCCTGGTTAGAAATCCTGGCACTCTTCCAACTGCAGCTGAGGGACTTTTGTGGCAAAGGCAAAGCACTGCAGAGAGCAACAGGAAAAAGGATGCATCAGAGCTACAACCTTGCTGCAATTCCTTCCATCTCTAATCACGGGGACTGAGATAAAAGGCAGACAACCATGAAGATGAAGCAGTACAACCAGAACAAAATTTGAAAGTCTGAGGAGGGAAAGAAAAGAAACAAAATCCCAAAACAAAACAAACCCAAATCAAACAAAACCCCTGAGTTGACTGCAGGCAAAATGGCAATCCAAGAATACATGAAGAATGTCTTCCAGATAATTGTTTCAATTAGCAGCCTAAAGGAACCAATTCAAGTGCCAGTTTCCCAAAGTACTTTAAATCAGCATGCATGTTTAAATTATTCTGAAAGTTACAAGCCCAAGCCAGGAACAACATTAGAACTTAGAGCTACAACCAATTCCTGAATGAGGAGCTGACATTAGGTTTGCCTTTCACAGACATATAAACAGCTTGGTTTTCTTCACTGTTGATTATCTAAGAAAAGTACTGCCAAAACCTACCAATGTGGATACAACTTTGTCCAGTGGTACCACAACACTGACATCCATCTGGCAACAAAACAATGAACTAAGACACTCATCCACTCCAAAATAAAATCATGTCTCTATCCTCTATACATGTATTTCAAAAATCAGTCATATATACATTATATTATTGACTACATGAAACAAAAGGAGCAAAGATAAAAGAAAGGGCTATAGAAAATGCATTATATGTTCCATAATATAGCAAAGTTATGCTTTACTCCTTAACTAGCATCAGACTTCAGTCTGAATACTGACCCTTCTCCATTGAAACTAGCCCACATCTACAAAACATCCTTCTTGAATTTTGTTGCAAACTCTTCCTCTTTACTCATTCCCAGAGAAACCAAGATATTATATTAACATACAACACAAAAATTTAATAGTCTATTATGCAAAGGAATGCCTCATACATGCTCTGAAACAACCTCAGGTTATCAGGAAAACAAGGCATACCTAAATCCTTAAAAGCTTATTTCACCTTACAGCACCGCCACTTCTGCTAGTCAATGAGCCCATGAAAGACTGGCACATATTTATATTCATTTTTCTAGCCTGCCCAAGAGACTTCAGCCTTCTTAGACCACTAGAAATGGTTGCAGGGCAAATTTAAACCTGTCCTGCAGAGATGATTTGTGTACATTCTAGTTTGGAAAAATGTACAGGACAGATGACGGTAACTATTTGTAAGAGAAAAGGAAAGCAGCAGGTCCATCAGGTATTTTTGGTAGTTATTAATAAGCAGTTTGCAGATGCAAAGAACACAGAAAACCAAAGCTTGATAGAAACATATTTGATTCAAAGATCAAAAATACTTTTAAGAATAAAGCCAAGAAAAACGCAATGAAAAGAATATTAACTTATAGTCAAATAAAGTCACCTCTTTGGTCATGTATTTTGAAAGACAGAATCGCAGCAGCTCCTCAGTGATACTCTAGAGACTGAGTCTCTCACACACTCATATATTAGGAAAGTAGACCAGATAAGTGGGAATTTTACTCCATCTATTACTTACTACCACAATATTTATCTGTTCCACACTTTCAAATTATGATCAACAACATGACACTGTGCATTCAAAAGCAGGTCTGGCTTTGCAACCATATTTTAACTGCATAAAAAGAAGAGGTGATTTATCAAAACAGATCTTAAAAAAAAAAAGCCATATACAGTCCTTGAAGCATGCATCCAATTAAAGAGTAAGTGGAAAAAAACTTGCAATAGAACAGACAGCAGACAGAAATCAGGACAGTTCAAATAAAAGCCGACATTAAAAATTACTATAAAATAATTGTACAGTACAAAATTGGAATTTATTATCATCTCAGTGAGAGCACAAAAAGTTTATAAAATTATTAACAATTTTAAATTACCATACTAAAATTACATCTGTACAAGAAATTACTATTAAATTCATGGCAACAAACATCCTGCAGTACAGAGAGGGTACTGTATCAGTAAACAAAAAACTGCCTCTAAATATGCAGAATTATACTTCATTGCAAGAGCCAACAAACATTTCAGGAAAACAAGAATCACTGAGCATTACAGAATACCAGGAAAAATATTTCCATGGTAGCATCACGCTCCATTCTATTATTTCCCCTTTTTTGCATCTATTTACAGAGTGCACCCTCTGGCCCATTTGCCTCTGTGACCTCCAAAGTATTTTGTTTTCTAATTTTCCAACAGAAAACTATGAGTATCACTCAGCTGACAGGAATCAATCGTGCTGACCATTCTGAGAGCAGACAGGCTGGCTTTATGGTATTTGGAAAACCCTCAGTCATTTCTGTGAAGCAATTAAAATGGGAAGTCTAAAGAATAACTGATACACACCAAAACAGCACAGAACATATTCACTAGACAATTAATTTTAGAAGACTGAGACAATGGAATAAGCACCTAGAAGCCAAGGAGCTCACATGCTGAGACTTTTTGGAATGTCAAAAACGATACTTGTATTCTGGTAATTTGCAGTCTTAGATGTTGGTTTGGCAGTAGGTGAAAAAACTACATGAGACTTTTTGGAATGTCAAAAATGATACTTGTATTCTGGTAATTTGCAGTCTTTGATGGCTGTTGGTTTGGCAGTAGGTGAAAAATCTACATGAGGTGCAGCTGGCATACAGGTGCCCAAAGAAGTGAAGTGTTTACACAGAGCCCTGATCAAAACTGGTGTGTAAGGAAGTACCCCATTCCTCATATTTTTATGAGTACACAAGTTCTTGAGAAGGTGCCAATGTGACTACTGCACTGTACTGGCATGTCCATACTGGTGACTGTCCTTTGGTTCCCGGGTTCATTAATCAGGTTCACTCAGACAGCTGCACAGTGCCACAAAGAGCAGGATATTCTACTTGGAACCAACTATTAACAGCAATGCCAGTTCCTGGACAAATGAAAACACATTTAGCTGTCTTTTGATAAAATTTACTCTCAGCACTTCAGTATTCCTATTATTAGTGTAAAATTTGGTCAACAGAAAAATATCACAGCAGAAAGGGAAAAGAGGATCTATACTGACAAAACATCAGCAATGCCTGACAAAAAACAGCCCACCAAAATCTGCTGATGAAACTCAAGGGTCTTTCCAAACTGCATTACAGATAAGTAGACAGAAGACTCTGTTTATATTAATAGCTGCTAGACTCATGTGAAAATATCAATACTATAAAACGTGCTGCTATGTTAAGAACAGGTAAGAAGGAACACTTCTAGGCAAAAAAAAGGCTGCCTTATCACGACGAAGGCTGCTGGGCTGTAGGTTTTAGCAGTTCTGTACCACTTTCAGAGCATGCTGCCAAAGGAGTCTGCCTTTGTGTCTTTTCCAGGACATCTATCTTTATATCTTCCCCTACCGCATGTGTTCCTTCATTCCCTGCTTCTACATGCCCAAGACTTGCAAATACCTTGGCACACTGAAAAAAAAATCCTTTTGCCTTATTGCTAGCTGCCTTTTGGGGAACATCTTTAATGGATATTCCAAGTGAAAGAAACATTAAGTCTAAGGGAATAGCAAAACTGGATAACTACCAAAAATACCTACTCTTCTACAAAAAAAAGATGAAAATTTTGTGTGCTCCCAACAGCTCCTGTCTCTCAATGCATATATCTCAAAGGATATATGGGCCAACAAAAGCCACAGCTCATCAAGCAGACACAGTGTTGCTGCTGACGAGCTGCTGGGACTACCTCAAACGTACTTAAACCAGGATCAGTTTTACCTCCTACAGACTTCTAAGAACAGCACCAATTTGTCTTGTAGATGAACTTCAAGTTGAGAGCACAAACATACTGCTTTCAACTTGAAAACCCACACAGCAAGCTTACAGTGGCTCTGGTATAAAATTATCTGAGAGCCCAAACACTAGACTACCTTTTGTCAGTATTTTAGAAATCCTGGGAAGCTGTTTCTATTCAAATGCATGCATTCCTATTTTAATTGCTTTTGTTTTACACTTTCTACCAATAATTATTTTCATTTTGTATTGTGTCTAAGAAGCCTTCTCAAGTACCTTAGAGTACCTTTTTTTTCCCAACACCTTCCCCCTTTATTTTTGTCTACTACTGCCAATGAATACTTTTAAAATAAACCAACCATTTAAAAACAGAAATTCTTTGTTCCTTGCCTGTGGGCAGTCAGCCAAGATTCAAGCTTCTGAGAGGGGAAATGGCTTGGCAAGGCTTGTGAAGGAAATTAAAGCAAGCAGATATCAATAGGGACAGTATATCAATAGAGACAGTTTGCTACACTTGCTGAACTTGCCCTCCTTCCACTGGGCCCCAAAATATTTCTACATCTCTGTATCAGATTCTTAAAAATAATAATAGTGGGAAAAAATATTTTTTAAAAAATTCTCAGCTTAATTTTCCCTGGGACACTTTTCTCTATTTTCTCTTCATGCTTTATTGCCACCATTCAGGTCACTATAGGACCCTTGCTCCTTGATAGGAGTCACTTACGACAGAGCACAAGGCACCTTTTTGGCTTCCCACTTTCCAGTAACACTGCCACAATTTATCAATTGCAGGCTGCGACAAGTACCCCATAGTACTCCCTTGTGAAACTTCACAGCTGTCCTTGTATCACTCTTTCCAAAGCCCCTGAGGCTCCAAAACTTCCTCCTGAGATGGTCATGTTTAGCTAATTTTGACTAGTTTTACAGAGAGCCAAGCCTACAAGATGATGCCTGTACGTTACTAGTAAGAGAGGGACTTTCACTGAACATTTTCAAGAGACCTAAAAGGAAAGCAGGTGTCACTGAAGAGAATCAAGAGGGGAGGGGGAGACAATTAACAAAGTGACAGCTGCAACGGGGGAGAGATTGCCACAGCTCACACATGTACACAAAGTGCACCACGCAAACACTATTCCTGTAGAACTGCAACAAAAAAAAAACACTTGTTCCACTGGGGAGAGAGGAAGAATTTAACTTGTCTGGTTTTCTTCCAACAAATATGTACAATTCAAACTGCATATGAATTTGTCCACCAAAATTATGTTTCTATGGCAAAACTGCAATGCAGACGAGGCTTTGGATTCATGCTCCTTCCCAACAGGCTGACCCAGGTGAAGATTTCAGAAAAATAACACTGGAGGAAATATTAAG